TCCAACTGTCAAGAACCTCGCTTCGTTGGAAGTGCCCATTGCAAAAGCAGTAAAGGAGAAAGAGAACACCCTTGGGGCATTGAGAATAGGAAGTGAAGGAGGTCCCCCGCCCCTAAGTCTGTAGATATCACCTACATTGGGCTTTTTGGGTCTCTAGGGCTAGGTTCCATGCATTGGAATGATCAGAATCGTCAAAGGTGAAAGATGCGTAACTTCCGGCGTGCTACGATCGCGGAATAAGTCCATGCGAGAGAGAGATCCGCAACATGCCTCACTAGAAGCGGACAGAAAGCTATATAGTGATCAAATTAGGGGTTACATTGGGGTTATCTAGGTATGATGGAAAAGAAAATGGAAACTATTACAATGGGGTTGGGATTACTCTCTCGAGTCTGGCTCTGATTGATGATTTAAGGGTTGATCTTTGTAAAAGAATCCGTAGCCCCATTGTAGTTGTGTCCATTTCTTTTCCACTATACCTAAATAACCCCAATTTAACCCTTAATTTAATCCCTATATAACCCTATTATACGATGATAGTTTCCATTTTCATTTCCATTACCGCTATATATAATCCCCAATATAACACCCAACATAACCCCTAATATGCTGTGTTGAGGTCATTTCCTTTGGCGACTCCTTTCACGAGCGAGAGGCTGCAACTAGAGTGCCACAGACCTCCGTGACAGTTTAGGGTTTAGAACACTTGAACCCTAAACCCTAAACCCTGGCTCACTTGTTCAATAAGTGGTGTGCGAAGCGGTTCCAGCTCAAAAAACCAATCCTGGATGAAGCCGAGGTGACACTGGGTTTAGGGTTTAGGGTTTAGGAAGGAACTTAAATCTGGGAATCGGGCTTATATGGGGGGTTCTATTGGGGTTATACTGGGATTATATTTGGGTTATGTTAGGGTTATATTGCTGTTAAGGAACTTAAACCAAATGTCATAATGAGGAAAATCTATGGGTTACTATGTGAGCTATAGTCTATGTTCCTTGAAGGGGCTTTTTTGGGGGATATAATTGGGGACTACTATAGGGGACATTAAGGGGGATACGGGGAGTTTAGACTATCGCTCAAATGATAATACCAAGGAAGCCCTATGAGTTACTATGTGCTGCACGGTTTTTATCGGTCATAGGAGATGTACAAAAGATGCATATTGGATTCGTGGCAGAGGGGTTTTAATTGGAAAGCCGAGAGCACATTCGCCCGGAATGATAAGGTCAACATACGCATCGAAACTTAGAAAACGATAACACACTCACCAATAATTCAGTGAGCAGAAGCCCAGACAACAAATAAAACCGTGCATCATATGCACATTGTAGGGTAACTTAACTTAAGTTCCTTAAGAGCAACCCAGGAAAGGCAAACGCCTTTCTAGGAAAGCCTTCCATTAGGGCTGGGCAAGCGGTTTAGGGTCTAGGGTTAGCATAACCATAACTGGGTCAACAAGTTCTCAAACAATAGGATTTTGGCTCCAAAGCACTGGCATGTGACATGTTTTTGCATGGAAAACACAAATATTTGGGTACTTGGACCCTGAGGGTAACATGTCTCGCGAAGACCATGGAGCACAGAGCCTAAGATTGCTAACCACAGCCTTCCCCTAAAAGGAAGCGCTGTACACCCCTCACACACTCCCCCACTAATTAGCGCAGGTACTACACTTGGAATATTCATTGTTAGGAAGCGGTTTGTCTGTAGGGAGGGGATTCATACCTATATCTGCAGGTTGCATATGGTGACAGGGTCGAAAGCAAAAGCAGGTAATTTCGGTAGCCTTCAATGTTGCTCCCACGGACTTCTTGCTCAAGTTGCGTAGGCCTTTGCAAAATTTGGGTTGGGCCTCGATGCTTTTGGTTCTCATGCTGAGCCTTCTGGGGCCCGAGCTGCGCAGTGAAAATCTGGTCCAGGGCTACCCAGCACCTGAAACAGAATCCTTCCTAGAGAAAGGGTGACTGATGGTAGTTTCCCTCAATACAGGGGGACCCCAATATATACCCAAAAATATCATAGTCCTGACTATGGGGGCCCCACAGAGGTACCCCTAAGTTTGGGAAACCCCCAATATGACTGGATTCTCCGAGTCATTGGTGTGGCCCTGCGAAGGAAAGTTCGGAAGTCTGAAGGTCCTAACCTGGGATAATGTTAAGGATCGTAAATATGTTGATAATAGTACTGACAGTAGTATAATAGCAATAGATAGTAATATCATAGCTGCTGCAGGCTTCGCATTTCTGTAAATGTCCATTCTCAGCTCATTTCTCCTCGTGTGGGAAAAGGCGGTGGTAGCACTAACAGCCCTCTTGGGGAAGGCGCTTGAGCCATCCGTCTTATGCCGCTTCCTAATCAGTGCGACCGCGCTTGTTATTGTGAGTACGGTTCTACACTGGAATCCTTTGTAGGGACAGGAACAGTGGCCCTGAAGGTTGTGGTTAGGGGCGGGAAAGAAGAGGAAAAGAGCTCGAGAGAGGGAGAAAGAGTTTGGTCGTCACTTGCAAGCCACTCAGGGCCTGAAGACAGTGCTGGAGCTGAGGAGCGTAAAGGAGGGCACGACCAAAGACTACGAGACGAAGCTGGACAAATTCTACGAGTTCGTGACCTTTTACCGTCTTCCCACAACGGCCGAGAAACACCTCGACGCAGCGCTGTCCGACTACGCGGGCCACCTGTTCTTCAATGGGGAAGGTTCCAACTATGGACAGAGAAGCTACAAGTGGCGCCTGAGTTTTTTGGAGGCCCGAAGCTTGAAGCTTCCGCGTTTCAAGAAGGCATTGCAAGCCAGACCAGGCTTCCCATGATTGAGTATGTCAAGAGTGCGGGTTGCTGATTTGGAGGGGCCTGAAAGACATGGCCAATGAGCTGACTTTCTCCACTTCTCTTCGCCCCGTCGAAGAGCTTAAGCTGAAGACTGCAGATTTTGTGCATCAGAGCAGGTCGCTGGAAGGGTACCCGCGCTCGATTCTGGCTGTTGCTCTTTTCGAAAGGGGGGAGTCAAGCAAGACTGGGATCTTCGACGGAGTAGTCATCCGGGACGACACGAGGGTCTTCGAAACCCCACGTGCAACTTACAGGCATTCGACGGCAACAACTGCGCTGACTTCTGAAACCCCACCTCCCGAACAAGAATCATTTTGGCGAAGACCACACATTCTGTTCCTACAAATCGACAGGCTGTGTGCACGCATAAAAGCTGGAGATGTTGATGCGTCTAGTCAGAAGCTGTAAGCATGTGTGTTCTCATGTGCGTGATTGCTGCAGGTTTCGCATTTCTGTAAACGTCCATTCTCAGCTCATTTCTGCTCCCATCCCTCCTTGCCTTGGGGACGGCTGGCTGAAGGCCAAACTTGACGGAGCTGCAGGGCTCTTCCTTCCATGGCGCTGTGGCGAAGACCACGCAAGCTCTTTCCTACAGACCGACATGTTACGCGCGTGCACAAGAACTAGAGATCTTTATGCGTTTAATCAGAAGCTGTATGCATATAACGGTAATACTAATAATAGTATAGTAATTATATTGCATTGCCCCTTTTGAATCCGTGCTCTGGTGCCTCCCAAAACCTTAGCGCTAGCATAATGCTTTGCAAGCCAAGTCTGATCCCAAACCTTCAACCCAAACCTTAAGCCCTAAACCCTAGACCCCAAGCCCTACGCTCTAAACCGCGTGACTGGGAGAATCCAGGCATCCTGCGCAGCTTGGCTTGTTGTTATAAAGGTGTAGCATAACATGTGAATATAGTATAATATCGTATATTATAGTATATTGTCATAGTATACGAGTATACGACAATAATAGTCTAGATATACACCCTGGCAACCCCTTTCAACCTTAAACCTTGCATCTGAGAAGCAGCCAGGCTGTTATACGCGTTACCGAGCGTTTGAAGTGATGGCCTTGGTTGCTACATGTTGCAGGTAGCAGTACTACTAGCAGGAGGAGGAGCAGCAGCAGCACTAGCACAACTACTACTACAACTACTGCTGCTATTACTACCGCTATTATTACTACTACTGCTACTGCCACTGCCACTGCTGCTGCTGCTGCTACTACTACTACTACTACTACGACGACTACTACTACTGCCGCTGCTGCTGCTGCCGCCGCTGCCGGCTACTAGCTCCAGCACTAGCACCACCGTCACCCCCACCGGCAGCGATTGCGAAGACCTTCTCAGAAGTCACATCTTATGGGGACCCTTGACTTTCCCACGAACTACGCCTACTGTCGCGCCTGGTCATTATGCCAGAGTTAACTTCGATGTTACTTTGTTTTGACACTCAGTGTAGTCCAGTTGCACGACATGCGGATCACAGAACGGTGCGGCTCGGATGCGCTGATGTGGCTCCTCCCGCCAGGCTCAAGGCAGCAAAGTTTTTACTGATGGAAGGGATACCGCAGCAAGCAAACAAGATTCCTGATTACGCCAGGCATGTAGCACTGGGCCTTAGGCCCCCATCACCACTCAGCACTTCGGAGCAGAGTCTGTAAATTATCTTTTCTCCTAACCACAGTAGTCCCAGACCTGCATCACAAAGGAGCATGATGCTCCAGTATGGACAAGAGTCCTTACGGCTCCACGCTGTGGGATTCGCAGTCTTAGTGGTGCTGTGCCACTGCAGTTCCTAGCCCTCTCATCCAGCTTAGCTTGTGCATCCAAGGCCAACTCGAAACATAGGTATAGGGAAGGGATGAGGAGGGTGACCATCAGCTGCAAGTTCCCTGGTCCATCCCTAAATAGGCCATTTAGGCTCCCTTCTCCCAGCCCGTCACATACGTGACGAGCCAAGGTTTCACTGTCGATATTGGATTCCGTATTCGCCGAGCATGGTCTTGCTTAAGGCAACGAGGTTCAGATGATCTGGAGCAGCTGAGCATTGACAGGGCCACCTCTCTTCATTTGCAATATTGGGAAGTCTTCAAGGCCGTTGTAGCTGTATGAAGTAGGTTATCACCCTCAGTCTTTCATTTTGTTGGGTATCATGCTGCCAGCAAGGCGATGCTTTCTTTGACAGCGAGCAACTTTGTCATCGCCAGCCGATTTCTCCAGCACGTGACCTTGTCGGGCGTGATCATGGGCGTCCTTTGGGGTTCTTATTTTGATTTTGCAACTTCGCTCTTCGTGTATGCTACATGTGTTCTGACGGCGCAGGGCCATGTGGTCATTACCGCTCCCCGTGTGAAGTGCTTTGTGATTGCCAACTACATTGCTGCTATTCCACTTTCGCTCTCACGTTATCCGGTTGACGGTGAAGGGATGGTGGTTCGACAGCTGTGTCTGGCATGGCAGTTTGTACTGGTGGGCCTCTACATGCACAGCAGACTGCACATCGCGGCTCAGGTGGCTCTGTTGCTTGCAGAGATCGTCTGCGGTCCTCCAGCGCTGGCACTGAGCCAAGCTGGCACAGCTGTTGCGGTAAGCGCTCTGAGTGTGACTCTTGAGCAATCCTTGCGGCAGAGTTTCGCATTGCAATTGCGGTCAAAGGGTCTGAAGTCTGATGCCCTTGGAGGCATCCAGCTCATGGATCACGCAACAGAGATGGTTCTCCAAGTTGATGCCTCGACATCACAGCAGAATGTGAGACAACTGCACTTGAATTTCCTAAGCTCAGATGCCGCAGGGGCCGCTGACGGCATGCTGAGCTTAAGAAAACTTGTCCGACCAACTGACTGGGAGTCTGTACGGGCGTGTGTCTCCAGCTATGCAGAGGCAGCGCACCAGCAGAACGTGGAACCACTGCGTCTGCCTTCCTTCCAGATTAGGTCCTTGGGCCATCCACGCAGGTACATTCTGCCAGAGGACGCCCGGCTTCATATCTCTACGTCCACCAGCCAGCGAGGGAGGCAGCTTCGCCGCCTCTGGTTGTCCTTGCAGCTACCAAAGGCTCGGGCGGCTAGGGAACCTCCCAAGGATGAAGCCAGGCTGCCAAGCATTGCAGAGATGGAGTGAATCGCGTCATACACAATATAAGCATTGCCTTGCTGTAGTCCGAGAGCATCTTTGCACCATATATTATTAGCGTAGCATCCGGGTCTCTTCCCGGAGCTGCAGATTTAACACCTGTGTTTGAAGTTTGCTCTTCGCGTGGTTACGTGGTTCCTCACCTTCCACGCGTTGAGCAACGTCCTTACCAGTTTTCGTTGATTGCGCAGTCGCGCGCTGTCGCGTGCAGGCTTTTCTGCAAAGTGATGTCCACTGCAGGCAACATGGAAACCCTGGGTACAGGGTATATATTGGGGTTATA